CAACTGGATATGAATATTTGAAGATACGAATATAAATTACAAGGGGCATAGGAAGAAAATTAGTTCTGTAATGATAGAAAGAAAACTAAGGAGCCAAAGAAAACTAGATCCATGGTAAATCTAGGGGTCGGACAAGTTTATTTTCAATACATATGGTGAGGGCTTTTGCTGTACAAAGAAGTTGGGAACACACTGCCTTTGGTAGTCTTTGAAACCTATCTATAAAACGAGTTTGGGACGTATCCTAAAGTTTGTGGAAACCCTGGCAATTAGAAAGTTTACACCACCTTTATGCGCTAAAAACAATTTGTCATCACACTAAACCTTCCTTGACAAACTTTGTTTTGATGCCATAGCAGACATACTATTACTTCTCTTATTTTGGTTTAGTGGTCTTCTTTGTTATTTTGACCTTAAATGTCCTTTTAGATCAACCTGAATTTATTTTCTCACCTCCGTGTGTAATCAGATTGTTCGAAATGTGTTGCGCAAATACATTACACGATTCAGACACATTGCGTCTTCTTATTGCTTTGTCGAGATATTTGTTCACTTTGTAAATGACTCTTAGTGATGTATACAAATGCGACTTTCCATCTTTTGAGGATGAAATCGACGGAAAGAAATTTTTGCTGGACTTCTTGTTCTCTTCTCTCTCCAATGTCCTGATAGGGTGGGTGGGTATTAACTTCTAGTCCAGCATAACTATCACACCGGGGGTCATACACTTTAAAATGTATCAAATGTCATTGATTTTACATTTAAAACACACTAATGATAATAATCGGATCTTTTGTCTTTTTATCTTACTTCAGATTAAGTTTATGTACCTATTTACTATAAACATTTACAAAATAACTAAACTCATAGTTGAAATAATAATCTTATTTTTACTTTTCTCTAATATTAGGTTGAAGAGAGTATGGAGAATCTCTTAATGGTTGTAGAAGAACGTAATCGTGCTGTTGATGAATTAGAAAAAGGCGAATGGATTGGTCCAACAGTTGTTGAAAAAGTCGATCCATTAGGTCGAGAAGTTCCAACACTGACTAGTGAACATTTTACTCCAAAGGTGATAAAAAGTTATGCAGAATCAGATGAAAGTATGTGGAGTCAAAAAACTTTGAAATTATTACAACTGGAAAGAGAGAGAAATATTGCACGAAAACGTGAACGTAAACGAAGAGAACGTTATTTTGAAAGACTTGATCACTGGAAAAAGATTGATTATCTTGATGAGAAATCAATTGAAAAACGCGCAATGTGATTCCTTGTATAGTTTAGTGTACATACTAAATATTGTTAATAAAATTATGAATATTAGCATCTGTAACTTTTTAAATGTACTTTCGAGGTATCTCATGAAATGTGTTCATTCGATCACAAAAATCTGTTATAATTTTATGGTAAATAATGAATTATGAGAACATTATTCCTAAGGCAAACTAAGCGTTAAGTGTATAAGCTTCGACTATGGATGACCACGAGTAACATGAGAATGTCCACACTAATACTGTTTCCTGAATATCAACATTCACCCAGTGATAGGGTTTAAGCAGTTGACCTCCAGCCAATGGGTTTCAGGTGCCAAACCCTACTTCAACATAGGCAGTTGGTTAGTATTATTAGTTCTCACAGCTTGACACATGAAATGTTCCAGGTGCAAAATTTTAAAAAGTTAGCTGTTTTCAATCATAGGTCTGCTTTCTGTCTTCCGTGTTAAGTGGTATAATAAGGCGAGTGGTAGGTAAGGAGAGTACGTTAATCGATAAGGTTGTGAAAGTGAGTCAGGATGGCTAGGATATGTGTTGCGCATACCTAGCCATCGCCTTCCTCAACGAGCAATGTTAGCCGATATTTTTGATTAGGTTGGGAAAGAGTTACTGGTGGTCAAACTAAAACATGGAATCATTCCATGAAATATTTAACAGTTAGTTCCAGCCACGTAGAGAGGTGTAGGATGCCTGGTTGGGTTCCTCGGGATTCTAAGAGACTACTGAAGATTTGGCTCAAAATCGTTGTCAATGGAGAAGATCCTGTCACTCTTTGTGATCTCTCATATCTATTAAACCCTAATGTCTTTCAATGTTACTAGTCTTTCTCCCTCAACTTCCCGCTTATTACAGCCCTTTTTTCTCTTCTTTACCTGTGTGCTACATGGAGTGTGGCAACTTCATCTGTTGCACTTTGGTGCAAAGTTTTATGTTGAAACTCAATCGGACAGTTCCAGGGTAACGGAGTTTCCAAAAACACCTGCATTCGCTTAAATGAAAAAAAAATTGATCATGCATCAATAGATTTAAAAAGGAGATTATTAATTTTATGGCTTCCCAGGTTGTTTTGTTCACGGATATTCTACTACACGAGGCTGTTGGTTTCATTTGTGATTATATCACAAGCCATGGAATAGGATTACCTTTGCCTGGCGCTTACATCAGGTATGTCATGTTGACTTGTACAGAAAGTGTCAGGTTCGATTTTCAAGGAAAAGAATACAAACTCATGGTATGGGAATGGGGAGCCCTTTCGGACTCCTGTTAGCAGATGTATATATGTCGAAATTGGAGAAAGAAGCGGGTGTTGTACTGTAACGACAGAAGGCAAGAGTCAGGCAACAAATCATTTATTAAGGAAATCAACGCATATTTATATATTTTCATGTACATAACTATGGATATTTAAGTAAACAAACACAGTCTTCCGATTGGTTGTTTCTCACGTAAAGTTAATCTTTCATCTATTTGTGACTGTTTCTTGAATGTCAAATCCTCTATATGTTAACTGCATCCGCCTACGCAAAGTCTGCTGTGGTCGGTTTTGAATCAATCTTTATTCACATTTTCTCACGACAAATCTTGGGAACGTAAATATTGACGTAAATTACTGTCTACCAATTTGGCTAGTAGACAGCTCTCACCACAATACTAGCAAACGTATTGGTGACTATAATGAGTTGATTGACAACTGGGTTACTCTATTCATCCAAATATTCGAGTGACTTTAGAATTCGAATTGAATAACAAACTGAATTTCTTGGATTTTTCAATGACTAGTAGGGACGACGGAACAATTAAGCGATTCTTATCTCCCAAGCAGATATGGAGTGGACAATTTCTCCATTTTAGCAGTTTTGTTCTTATCCAGTATAAATGTTCCCTGGTGAAATGCCTGTTTTCAAGGGCCCGTAAAATTTGCACGAGCGACACAACAGTGGATGAGCAAGGGTGCAAACATTCAGTTTTATAAGCTAATAAATATCCGGAAGACTTCATTGGATCCCAAAGTGAACACCTTCAGTACCAAAGAAAGCTAACTCTACTAGACTACCATTCAAAGATGATCATCAAATTAACCAGTTGAGAGCTCAGAGGCTTCGGTGACCTATCAAGCGTACACTATGCTGTATCCCTTTTCCTTACATCTCCAACATTTTTGACTCCTGTAAGAATGACTAAAGGACGAAATTCTATCGACTGTACTTCACACTGTATCTACAAGTTCACCTGTAGTTCCGGTGACAAATATATATAGGTAGAACCAATAGAATGTTCCAATTTTGTCGGAAAGAACATGTCCCTAAATAGTTATTAAGTCACATAGAAAACCCAAATATAATTCATCTGAATAGGAATCCATCATCATCCATTTCAAATTAAACCTTTATCAGCCATGGACTACTTGACCTACTAAAATATGATTGGCTGTTAGTGTGTATTTTTGTTATATATAACTGAGTAATTGTCATACTTTTTTATTTATTATCGTGAACCATGCTAGTTGTAAGGCAGTTGTAGAGGAACTACAAAGTGATATCATCTCGTGATATTTGTTTTCTTAATACCTTGTTTAAATTTACCAAAGGGACTAACTTCGACAACAGTTGCGTTCATTTACAGCGTATAATCCTGGTAGTTTTTGTAACCTATGAAACACTATATTTTGTATTTATTGCTATTATTATTCCCTTGAGTTCCTAGTAGAACATATGGGGCTTCAACAGCACGTCTCCACTTTGTCCTATTTTCTGCAGTCCTCCTTAACTGGCCTCACGGTTGCCCATAGTCTCTGATCTCCTCCATGTCACTCCCGTACGCCCACTCGACGTTGTCTATTCAGGTTAAACTCGAGGGCCTGGCGCGCGATGTTATTCGACAGTCTCTCCAACATGTGCCCTATCCATCTCCATTTTCTCCTGCTCAAAAAGCAATCGGCTTTTGGTCAGTTTGTTCCCAGAGTTTCTTGTTGCTATTTCTTTCTGACTAGCCATTTGATCTTCAATAAGGAGGCAGTTGTTGGTAAAAGTCTGTAGTCATCTGTTAGAAATGGTTTTCGTGACGCTCCAAGTTTTTGACCCATATAGAAGTAACGGACTTAACATTTGGGTTGAAAATCCGAATCTTCTTCTTTATGTTGAATGCAGAAGATTTCCAAATTGTGATCGCAGAGTGATGAAGATTTGTCTTGCCTTTCCCATCCTCGCTATGACATCCCCCTCCGTTCCACCTGTAGATGAAATAATGCTTCCTAGATAAGTGAAGGAAGCAACCTCTGAAAATTTTTTCCCGTTGATAGTGATTGGTACTACTTGTTGTTATTGTTGATTCGTATGGTACAGTATGAAACCAAAATAGGACAACGATATCTTATCATCAGTTAACATATCATATTTCATTACTGCGTAACGACAAAATACCGTACATGCGCTGAACAACTTTTTTTATGTTATTAGTAAAAGCAATAGGTTATTTCAAATTGCTTAAGTTGGAATCCAATGGGTACTTTCAAACAGTGGTCATATTCTCTTGCATAACACTGGAAACAATGATGAAAAGACATTTAAGTATATCATATATACAAGGATACTATATATTTTTTCTATGTAGAACGCAATTGTTTCTCTAATTCCAGTGTGTTTATTAAAGCATGATTCAATTCCTTTCCAACTGTGGTTGCAAGCTGTAATAAAAGTGAGTTAATGAAATGCAAAAAATTATGTTTACCTCTGACATTTTAACAATTGTTTCCAAATGACAACTGGAACATCCATCACGTTCTATAGATCCTAATGACCCGTCAGGGTATATAACAACAGACAACCTGAAATATCATCATTATTGAATGAACAAACACATTTGATGAATATACCAACCTGGATAATGAACACGCCTCTTCTTCTTTAGTAGCATCGATTACGTAAGCATTCCCAATCTAAAAACAAAAAGAAATAAGAACTTAAGCAACACATATGAGAAGGCGATAGAAAAGGAACACTGAAACTGCTTATTTTTAAGTCTATGCAAGTGTGTTCTTATTCAAAACACTTCAGTGTTATTTGTACTAGAATAAAAACGTACGTCATCAGTGCACCTTTAGTATGATCTGATACATGAATTTATGATCGGGTAATTGGAAGAAAGTCGGCTCCTATGGATATTATACACTTATGGTTATCCTTGACGATTATTAATCAGACATAGAGAAAGCATAGAAATTACAGAAGAAGGATGTATGGACAAAGAAATCTGTCGCAATAAAAGACATCACTACCTTTTTATGCTTAAAAAACCTATCTATGGTTGTTTTGTAACAACAGAAGGCAAGACACTGGAGCCAAGGTATATTTTCATGTGATTAAACCGCTGTTTATATATATCTATAGTTTATACTCCTTAACCGATCACTGAGCGTGTGACTTTGGTTTACATTAAACGATATGAAATAGAATGTTTAAATATACATAGTATTCTGTTGCTTGTGCCGGATTGAACTGTGGGAATATGTGAAATATATTCCGTTGGCAAACATTGTCTGTATCATACCGTCACAATTTATCATGATGTCAAGTCTTTACTTTTTTTTGTATACCTTTCTGTTGGGATTGACAAGCTTCTCTAAAGTTATTATTTAGGCATGCACTGACACAAGATAACCTGACTGGATAGTTTTTGATTCGTTTATTTATGGATTAATTTTCTGAGGTCATACAACCAATTGCATTTGTTTATATATTTATAGCTGAAATTCTTGGTTTTGTAAATTTAATATACTGTGCATTTTGTTCAATAAACATTGTCGTGATTGTTGCTGATATTGTTATTTCGTTTTCGGTTTTCGTTCTTCCCAGTCTGACTTTTGTGTCTATTTGAGTGTGGGGATATTTTCTGTGATCAATTGGTTATAGTGTCGTGTCTGGCGGTGCATTCTAGTCCCAACAAACCAGTAACACTCCATCGTAACACTTTCCATCTTAAATTGTTTCACTGGCTATTGCTATCAGGCAGTGAGTCCAGTGAGGCTAAAGTATGCTTAGTATCTTAGTTTGACTGACAACAGTTAGTAATTTTAATGTCCTATACTCTGAATATCAATCGTCAGCTCATTGATGACTACTCGATGAATTTCCTGGAGTTTCAGTGGGAGGTCCTGACCAGTGGGGCCTACCATGTCAAGGTGAAGTGGGTGTTCATCTAAGGCATTGGTGAGAACAGCGCTATATTACGGGTTGATAAAGTTAGCATTCGGGAGCCACTGAATTCCAGCCTAAGTGGCTGAATGGTCAACGAGCTTGGTTTTGTAACCTGAAGTTCCCGGGGTCGATCCCTAGCTGGGTCGTAGATGGTTACTGCTGAACAGTCCCAGAATGCGACGGAACAGCTGTTCAGTTCTCCCTTGTTTTCGGGTGATCTCTCTAGCTTATGTTGGTTCGAGCAGAAAATCTGACAGTTGTAACTTTAAAATGAGATACACGGATGTACATATTATCAGATAATTATTTCCATAGTAAAAGCCTTTTGTTTTACTAACAATGTCTAAAATAAAAACTACAGTAATTATGAACATATAAGTCAACAGATAGGTCTCTTAGTAAATTCACTTTAAAGTTGAAAAGTCATTTTGGACCTTTATATATATATATATATATATATATATATATATATATATATATATATAATTACAATGTGTGAAAAATTATGGACAGTTACGGAATAAGAAATAACGGTTCAGCAAATTCATTCGCCTAGCTGTAGAATCACAACTATAGTTTGATTGGACACTAGTATCTAGTGTTATGCGTCTAGTCCTTTCTTTGCTGCAGACAGAATTCTATCAGTCAGATTTGCAATGTGGCCACCATTCTAGGTAGCTCGCCATCACGGTGCACATTGATTTTATGATATCAGATGGTTGGAGGCAATCGGCAGGAAGCCTTGAACCACATAGGTTTCGTGCTAGTAGGCACTCACCAGTCACCAAGGCGAATCTGCAACCTTGAAGGAACTCATTTCCCTTCCCATTTAATATCATCAAATCAATGTGCACCGTGATGGCGAGCTACCTAGAATGGTGGCTACATTGCAAACCTGACTGATAGAATTCAGTCTGCAGCAAAGAAAGGACTAGAAGCATAACACTAGATACTAGTTTCCAATCAAACTGTCCACTACAGTCCTACAGGAGGTCAATCACGAGCCCGAATAGTTCAGTGGTAAAGTCGCTGACTGCAGCACTGGGTGACGCGGGTTCGAATCTCAGAAGGGACATGAGTTTCTTCAAGGTCGCAGATACGCCTTGGTGACTGGTGAATGTCAACTAGCACGAAACCTATGTGGTTCAAGGCTTCCTGTCGATTGCCCCCAAACCATGTAATATAATCACAGCTATTTATAATTATTTTTGTCTGTGTGCACATTCAGTTTGTCAAACAAAAGCAGAAAGTTAGTTTGAAGTATTGTTTACGTCATCAGAATACTTTAAAACAGTGATGAATAATCAAATTTGAACTAAGGGGTGAACAATAGTAAGTCTAGACTAAGGTTGAGTAATAATTTTAAAAAATCGGAGGGTATTGAAAGGGCAGGAAGAAAAGTATCAAAATAATATTGTAGGTGGACACAATAAATAGAAGGTTAGTTGAGAAAATGATGATACCAAATGTCATATGAAAAATGCACAAAATAGTATTGATAACAAAATAGTGATAACAGTTGAACTTGGAATTATATTTGAGGTAGAAGTAGGAGATAGAGAAGTTTCTCCTGGGTACATATATCAGATTTTTCCATCCGAATCGCTAAGGCCTCACAGCAATGCAAAGTATACGGAAGCCTACCACTGTCGGCAGCCTTTTTTTACTTTGTAAGTAACTTTGAATGGATTTTCCTCATATTTTCAGTGACCAATTTTAAATATATGTTCAATGATAACACGGCAGCTTTAGATAACCAGGAGGGATAATATTCATTGACTCTTTTAGATAAAGCATGCATCGAACGACTTACATATCTAGCTTCACACGATCAAGTGAATTGGTATATGCGTGCACAAAGTGGTCAAATGTGATAGTTTATCTTTAGAGTTATTGAGGAACACTGGACGGCAAGAGAATAACAATCTGGATGAGTATTTTTCGTAATCTTACGTAGTCAAGAGGACTGACAACTAATTAGCTAAGTGAAGAATAACCGTTTGCACTTACCCAAATGAAACAAGAGAACAAGGGGTTCAAAACATGTTGTAAACCATAAAATAATTGTAAAGTTACAAAAAGAGATCTCTTTACTGACTTAATAATTACATGACATGGGGATTTTTCAACTACAGTAATTCAAAACAAAAATGTTGCAACAGTGAACAAAAACAAATTTTGCTTACTTTATGCACTGTAACGAATAGAGGTAGCATATCGTCATTAGAGTGTTCAGCTGAGGATTCCGAAGTCACCATTTTCTTCTTATTTTTGAAAACAGATGCCAGTGAAGAATTCGACTGTCTACACATACATGTATTTCGTTTTTAGTTTTAAAGTGTTAGAAGAAAAAATAAACATACGTTGCATTGAGTAAAGCAGCCTTAATGACTAAAGATGATGCATCAAGCAGGTTTCCAGCACCTTCTAATATCTAAAAAGCATAAAATTATACATTATCAGACACTTACAAGTAAGTCAATGTACACAATCCAGCATTGTCGACCACGTTGTATACACAATGAACTAAGATCAAGAAACTCTGATTGATAGACTGATTGTAATGTTGCTTTCAAGCGTTCGGCTAATTCAGATGCTATTTTATCATTGCAACGGTGAGTTGCTGTAGGATAACTGAAAAAGAAAAGAAGAATAATAGTTTTTTTAAATTTGTAAATTGAACAACAACAGCATATGTCTAAGCCAGCGAAGTCGGTGATTCCAGGAGACAACATTCAGTGAGCAGTTCTACGGAAACAGCGATGATCGAATATGCGGTCGTCTCACATCTTTATTTCGGAGAGGCTAGGTCTCACAGGCATAGAGCAAGAATGAGCGCCCTGAAACATTGCAAACTTGACCGTTAACAGCCAGACTGAAGTCGCAACAGTGCCGGGAGAGATTAAAATTGGCGTATGCAACCCTAGCCTCCACTACATGGATGGAGATCAAGTTCACCAAACCTCCACCAGCAGTCACCCAAACAACTAGATACACGAGCTTGTGGACAACTTCAAGTAGTCCACCTGCGATGATGAGTGCAAGTACAAGCTCCTGCCAATCTTGCAACAGTTACTTTGCACTCATACGGCCCAAAGCATATACTATACTTACAGGCACTGATCGCCAACTGATTAAGTACGATTCGGGCAGTCTGCATGTTATTGCACAATAAGACGATATCGTTTGCGTACGCGAGGTCGAAAAGTCTTACTCCAGAAAGCAGATCTACACCACCACCACCACGCGCATCCTTCAGGGCTGACCCCAGAATGTCATCGATGACAAGGTCGAAGAGAAATGTAGAGAATGGGCAACCCTGTCTAACTCCACTGTTTGTTGGGAACAATGGTGAAAGTTGGTTGCACGCCCGAACTCTACCTGAGGTGTTTCTGTAAAGAGAAGTTAATAAACTTCTCAGGCACACCTTTCTCTAACAGACAAAACATGTAGAAGGTAAAAGAGGGGTAAGAAGATACAATCGGTAGTACAGTGCTATACGAAACAAAATCACTATATATATATATATATATATATATTCAAGATGAGAAGTGCATCTGTGCAACTGACACCAATTCTGAGATATATCAAATTGAATCATAAGTCCCGGTGATCATATGGACTACGGTTGACGCCAACAATGGGTTACTTTGTGCAATGTTTTGATCTAATCATGTCTTGTCTTCCTTTAGCCCAATCAATTTTACTTCTACTAACATAGCCGTCATCACCCATGGATCTAGAGGACAAGGAGGGTTTACTTAAGGGATTTGAGAAACCCTGATTACACACTGATGATTAACATGGCTGCAGGAAATGAAAAGAACACATGGTGTATGAACCTGCTGTAGGAATACACCTCATAATGTTGTTCTTTCTTCTAGATAAAACTCTAAATTAAAAATTTAGAGAGTAGTCCTTTGAGACAATCATATGGTTAGGTTTCAGCCAACATACAAAATATATGAAACCTGTGCTCTTACAATTTCAAGAATGAAATAGCTCAACGTTTAACTTATCACACTACACCGTTGTTCAGCTAAGCTGTTGTGCCATCAGCTACGAATGATGGGGTGCACACAAGGATGCCGCTCCCTCTGGATCGGTTTTCTGGGTCCTCATCACGCCTTGTTGTACGTCAAACTTCTCCTGCGTTTTGATGGTCACGATGACCGTCACCTTAGACAAGTTGATCTAAGCAAGTCCGTTTCACCCAATATTGTAGCCAAATTTCATATACCAAGCTAGACTTCAGGCTGGTTATTGACGCTACAGAAGTCACACGCGAACGCCTCTTTCACTCACAAGATACCATGATGACAGTTAAAGTAGCTGTGACCAAGAACAACATCCAATTGAGAGCTAAGTTTTTCGGGAATGTAAGGGAAGTCGAGAGTGATACATCCATGTATCCATCCTAAGAAAACAGCCTACGTAATCCATGTGATAATTATTGGGTGTTACGTTCTTAACAATTATGTCAACGATACTGCACGAAATGCCATAACCTATAGGCGTTCAAGACACTATCAGTTATGTTTTAGAAACAAAACCAATGACAAACACGCTGCGAATTCCCTTTTTCTTCTATTTCTGAAAGTAATATGCATTGCCGAGTTCTATTTAGAATGCCCTTGATATACATTCAGACTGTTTTCATTCTGTTTTTCCTCACTTGTATAAATTCTCTTCTCATACTGTTCTAATCTGTGTGGTGCATCTCTAGATGACTATTATGTAACAAGTTTGCTAGTTAGATAATATATAATACATTGGACTGTCAGTAAGTTATGCGTAACACAAGTTCAAAACACTTCAGGCAAGAGAGGTTTAACAGCAGCAATACCTAGAAAGAAAGCGACAGTGAAACAACAGATGCGTGGTGTTGTCAACACCTAAAAGGCAATCAAATATTGGCAACAGTAAAGAATAGACACCAGAGTCAAGTAGCATTAGACCAATAAATCAGATAGCTCAGGACTAAAAATGTGTGCTTTTCATAATCTTTGCTGCAAGCTTCATTTTAACCCTAATCTTCGTTGCAAATTTCACCCTAACCGTAATCATAACCTTACCTTAATCCCACCTTAACCTTAACCCTGAACCAGGATGAAACTTGCAACGAAGATCATGAAAAGCACCCATTTGTAATGCTGAGTGATCTGATTGGCTGGTTTAAGTTCATTTGAATGTGGTGTCTATTCTTAACTGCTGCCCAAATTTGAGTCTGCATAGAGATAGTGTCACAGTTTAGTGAAATCTGGGCAAAGTTTTATTTTGATGTCGAGATGTTTTCATTCAGAAGCTCACTAGGACTAATACCATTTCCCAGGAATACGGGATGATTATGGGTTCACCCTATTCACCTCCTATAATAAGACAGCTTGTCAACGTAAGACAAGCTTGAAAGAGCGGCTTACATTTACCAAATAGGAAGTGAATCCCATACTTTTTTGATTTGTCATTTGGTTTCCAAACAACAACACATCTTTTCAGAACCGTTATCCAGAGGTTATCTGTATATGCCAGATAATCTAAAGAACTCCCACTGAATTCATGTGTGACTGTAAAAATCACAATAAGCTCTTGTCATTAATATGATAAGATGCCATATACAAGTCTGATCATCAAGACAAATCATTTGTTGCTTCTTCAGTGATTCTGACAAGTAAAGAGGTAAGTTCTGCATACAGAATGTATAACATAAGCTTAAATGAGATGCATTATTAAATTCTGCACAACAAGAATTCAGGAATAGAGTGTAATTTTCAAAATAGAAAATATGTATTTGACTTACCATTCAACATTAATTTCTATACGACCTTCATTTGGAGCAGTTAAAGACGGTTTACCAACTTCCGTTTTGACACAACATAAAATAAATGTTTCACCCTACAATTTAACGTAAAAAAGCACACATTTTACTTACAATGCGAATACTCGCTGAACCGCTCGCGTGGCTTAAGATACTAGTCTCAATTTCTAAAGGTCGATATTCGTTTGGCCTGCGGCCATCCATCCTACATCCCAACTAAAGTGAATTAGAAACAATTAGTTGGTAAACTAACTTCAACTCCCTGTACGAGGTAGAAGCGTTCAAGATCACTTAGGAGAACAGTATCCATAGTGTGTTACTTGGTTACAGATCCAATACAGTTGTGTCACAAGATGTCTGTAAAATAGAAACATCAATGACTTGATATTGAATTTGTATTATCTGAGGAAGTTATTTAAAGTACCAATACAAACTAGAAGTAACGCCATATTCTTCAAAGCAATACTGAGGATAACCAACGGAAAAATAACTTGCTGAAGAAACTCAACTTCAACTTCTCGTTCTGATTGCAGCTAGGACGTCCATGTGCAGTATTTTCAATATTTCAACGGCGAATCAGTATTTGAAAACTTCGCCTTTTTGTTCTTACAGAACAACCCGGATATGGAGATTGAACAGATGGATTCGCGACATACCAGAGTCACGTGGTTAGTCAGTTTCCCTCAGTTTAGGTCAAAGTGAAACACTCAGCACTCACCACAGTATACATACTTATAATTAAGTAAGCATATTTTGATTTCAATTCTCCTGTTTCAGATGAAGAGATTTAGTCTGATTGGGATATGAAGACATCAATGCATAGACGACACATGGTGTTCCTATGAAGTAACACACGCACAAGTTTGCGCATAGGTTAGGACGAAGTGCGGATGCTACGGTCAAGAATGTAGGCGCACTGCAAGTAGACCAGATTCAGATTATAAGGACAGAAGGCTCTTGTTGCCTATGTTAATCCTTGATATATATATATATATATATATATATATGCAGAAATCTAGTTTCTCTTTGAAAGCGTTCACCGATGGAGCTGTTACTGCTGAATCAGGTGAGGAGTTCCAGTCGTTGACCATTCTGTGAGAGAATCTAAATTCCACAAGTATTTTGTTCGACCTCGGTCTGAGCACCTTTCTTGTGGTGACCTCGAAAATATATCCTAGAGGGAGAGGAAAGGTTAGAAAGGTCAATCCCTAAATCACCCTTGAATATAAGGTAAGCCAAAATTAAGTCTCTTTTCCTCCTTCGATATGATAATGGGGAGAGATTTAAATGCTCCATCCTCTTATCATATGGAAGGTGTGAGATACCACTAACTAATTTGGTTCCTACCCTCTGTACTCTTTCCAGGGTATGTGCCTCCTTTTTGAAGCATGAACTCACCGCTTGTATGAAGGATTCTAGATGAGGTCTGACATATGTTGCATAGAGTACTTGGAACATACCCTCGTCTAATCGTTTGAAAGCCCTTCGAAGTGCGAATAGCATTCGAAATGCCTTATCTGCGGCTCCATTACAATTTGCTGTTGTTTTAACGTCATGACTTACATTAATTCCTAAGTCCTTTTGTCCCTTAACATCTGGAAGTTCTGCGTCCCCAAGGAGTACGACGTGTAAGACCTCTTACCTAGGTGCATTACGCATCAAATATATGCTGCACTAAAGACATAAGACGCACTACAAATACCATGACAAATTCTAGTAGGTAAATCCTGCAAGAGCATGTACTCGATTAGCTTCTCGGTGCATTTTGCGCAACGTTTCTGCGATGTGCCTAAACGCTTTACCAATTTGCTTTTACATTCAGATTCAGATTATAAGGATAGAAGGCTCTTGTTGCCTATGTTAATCCTCGCGATATATATCTCTGCAGAGATCCAGTTTCTCTTTGAAAGCGTTCACCGATGGAGCTGTTACTACTGAATCAGGTAAGGAGTTCCAGTCGTTGACCACTCTGTGAGAGAATCTAAACTCCAAACGTATTTTATTCGACCTTGGTTTGAGCACCTTCTTCTGGTGACCCCGTAAATGTATTCTAGAGGGAGAAAAGGTTTGAGAGGTCAATCCCTAAATCACCCTTGAATATAAGGTAAGCCAAAATTAAGTCGCCTCTCCTCCTTCGGTATGATAATGGGAAGAGATATAAATGCTCCATCCTCTTATCATATGGAAGGTGTGAGATACCACTAACTAATTTGGTTCCTACCCTCTGTACTCTTTCCAGGGTATGTGCCTCCTTTTTGAAGCATGGACTCGCCGCTTGTATGCAGTACTCTAGATAAGTCCTGACATATGTTGCATAGAGTACTTGGAACATACCCTCGTCTAATCGTTTGAAAGATCTTCGAAGTGAGAATAGCATTCGGCTCGATTACAGTTTGCCGTTGTTTTTAAGTTATGGCTAACAATAATTCCCAAGTCCTTTTGTTCCCTAACATCTGGCAGTTCTGTGTCCCCCATGGAGTACGACGTGTAAGACTTCTGACCTAGGTGCATTACCGCGCTTTTCTTGGAATTAATTTCCAGACTCCAAAGGTTAGCCCATTCGGTTAATTTGTCTAGATCGTTTTGTAGTACCAACCTATCATCGCTACTATTTACGGTTTTCCATATCTTAATATCGTCCGCAAATAGTAAGGAAGATGACGTAAGAATTTTTGGCACTTCATTTACGTATAATAAGAATAGCAGGGGGCCAAGAACCGTTCCCTGAGGTACTCCACTTAGTACTGCTTTCCACCCTGACAGTATACCATAAACCCTTACCTTCTGTCTACTATCCATCAGGTAGTCATTAAACCACTCGCATAAGCGTTGGTCTAATCCAAAATGTTTAAGTTTACTAAGAAGACCTAAGTGGGATACCTTATCGAATGCTTTACTAAGATCGATAAATACAACGTCCAGTAGATGGTTTTTATCCCTGGCCTCGACCTAATCTTCCCTAGCTAACAGTAAGTTTGTCAAGCAGGATCGTCCTGGTCGGAATCCATGC